TCTTTCTATATATATGGGTCCGTGCAGCATTTCCACGATATCGTTATGATCAATTAATGGGACTTGGCTGGAAAGTATTCTTGCCTCTATCATTAGCTCGGGTAGTCGCCGTTTCTGGTGTTTTAGTCACCTTTCAATGGCTCCCTTAATTATGTGCGAGGCCATTGAGTAATGCATAACGGGCTAGTCCCCGAAAATGCCCGTAGGAAACTTTCTCGTTGGGGGTTCAAATCCAATTCATGATGATAGTGAGGAAGAGAAGTTCTGAAAAGAGCTACTTTTGGATCGATGTAATTGAGCTCGACATAACGATAGCAATCAGTGCAGGAAGAATACCCTGGGGGTTTTGCTATGTCTTTAGCTGATTGCAGCTTCGTAGCCACAAAGAAAGTTCTTGTATAAAGGTAGAACATCGAATCAGCTTACCTCGCCTTAACTTAAAAGGGCTCTACTCTAGCAGGCCTCTCTTAGTGCCATTGCAAGGAGCTGTAGCCGCAATTGAATCCGCTTTTCATGCTGCCGATTCTAGACCGATTTCAAGCTGTTTGGTGGGCTGGTTGGTATGAATTTAGGAGTCGAGGATAGATGGGAGTTCTCTCCCGTAAGCCTGGCAAGAGCCGATCTCTAAAGTTCGGGGGGCGGAGCAAGCTCTCTTTCTTTTGGAAATCCGATTTACCACCAATATATCCACCTCAGTCTTCAGTTGAGCGGAAAGGGGATTCGTATTCTTAACCTCACGGAGCGGTAAACTCCTCAGATGAATGGATTGACTGGTTCGCTGTACCATTTATACTTCCTTAACTTAAGAGCTACTTGTGTGGCGCTTCTTGGCTCATCACCTCTGTGTTCTAGAACTATAGCAGACCTTTCCACCGTAGTGAGATATCCCCAATTTCATACCACCGCACGAGATATTAATCCAATTGGGGCCTACCAGAGAAAGGGACCAGCACAAGCAGGCGGGAATCGCCTATATACGTACCTGAAGGTTCTTAAGCAGTTAAGGACTCCGTTGGGTGCTAAGTTTATAGACTATCTCCGTAAGCATAATTGGCCCGCGGAGTACACTCCTGAGGAACTCAAGGAAAAGTACGTCTTTTTGGAGTGGGTTGCGTGCCCGCTCTGTTTTCAACGGCCAATCAAAACTAGACAGCTTTTCTTCTATGGTTGGCCTAGCACGCAGAAGACGCTTCTTGTGAGCTTTCTATCTAAGGTTTTCCGTCTTTATTTCGGGAGTTCGCGCCGCAACGATTTCACAGGCGCCGACAACTACTCCAATCTCTGGGTCTTCGATTAAACATAAAGAAAGAATACCGTAGCTAAGAATTAATATCTTTCGAGTGAGTGAACCGAACCTTGGGTAAGGTGCACGAACGGGTAGCTCTTTACAGTGGGCGGTTTGGAATTCCACATTGGTCTATCAATTCCTTTCTTTTGAATAGAATAAGGGGCTTCCTTCACATCAATCGAAGAGGTTAGCTAGGAAAAGAAAGTCTACTTACTATAATAAATAGTCAAGAAAAATAGTCGTAGCAAGCCGCATTCATAACAGGAAAGGGGAAAGAGTGGAGGTGAACTGGGTCAAAGAACTACCTTCCTGGAGCTACCTCCTTACTTAGATCGTTCGTTCCCCAATTCAAACTCGGGCAAAGTTGTCCAGGTGGGAAAATCCCTACCACCTGAGATAAAACAGAAAGCTGTAGACCTGCTTCGTGAGTACAAAGACGTCTTCGCCTGGAGACATGAAGACATGACCGGTATCCCTAAGGAAATAGTAACCCACAAGCTGAATGTTGACCCCGAGGCAAAGCCAGTTATGCAAAAAAGAGGACCCATTCACTCCCGAGCATAACGCAGACACCAATGCAGAGGTGGACAAACTCCTCAAGGCTGACACCGTTAAGGGGGTGCTCTATCCAACTTGGCCACTGAAAAGGGCGAAGGCTGGGCCAACTTACTGCTTACTGCCATGCCATGGTTGAAGCTTTAGGCTCCATAGGCGGAACCTTTTTTTAGGTATTAGAAAGGGGAGGAGAGAAAGAAGGCATACATGGAGATTCTGTCTGTTGGAGGTTCGATAATCTATAAAAGGACATCTAAGGCTAAGATTACGAAGTAAAGGGTCGGGAAGTGGCCTAGAACAGAGGGAATAATCCACTGTAGGTCTATAGGACGATGAGGCCCTAGTCCTCCATGGGCTGGGGGAAAGAAGAGCCTAGATAAATTTCACGATAACTGAAGAGGGAATGCGGCTTTACTAGTTTTTGAGACTATAGACAAAGGTTTCCCAGTTCGCTCTAACGCGGTGTCAGGGTCACTCCGAGCTAGACTCGTCGTGAAACTAACTTCTTCTTAGAGAAACGATGTGTGCTAGCCTTCCCTTCCAACCATGAAAGCATTCGAGCCTCCGCTCGTTACACAGTCTCCTCCGAGTACAGACACGTTGACTTACAACTTTGAAAGATCAAAGACCTTTACCTTTTCGAAGGGCAATGGGAAGAGACAGCCTTTTGGGATTTTTATACTATTACCTAAAGAGGAACAAATATAGTAGAGGTGTTTTTTTTGGGTGATGAGATTGTTATCGCCGACAAGAAGGCGCTTCGATGCATATTTGTTGGTTACGATGAGCAAAGGAAAGGTTGGAGATGTTGTGATCCTACAACCAACAAATGTCATGTTTCACGAAATATGGTGTTTGATGAGGCGTCATCTTGGTGGTCACCTCAAGCAACTTTATTGCCAGACTCCAAAGAAATTCAAGAAAAAGTTGGAGAGAAGATAGGAGAGGGCGAGCTGACTCCAGAGAAAGATCAACCAGAAACGTCAAGGGTTCAAGAAAAATCTAAGAGCCCTTGGAAGATAGGTGCTTACGAACAAAGGCAGTCAATTCAAGAAGAAGAGGAAGATCCGGATTATCCTCCTCTTCGACGATCGGGTCGAGAAAGACGACCTAATCAAAAATATGCAAATGTCGCTATTGCAGAGATAAAAGAGCCAACGACTTTTGAAGAAGCATCAAAGAAGGTGGAGTGGACTACTGCAATGGAGGAGGAAATTTCAGCTTTGGAGCAGAACCAGACTTGGGAGTTAGTGCCAAAGCCAAAAGATGTGAAGCCCAACTATGTTTGCAAGTTAAGGAAAGCTCTCTATGGCTTGAAACTTCGCTGAGAGCGTGGGTTAGGTTCTCTGTGCACTATAGGCCTAGTATAGTAGCACCAGCTGGGATCATAAAGCGGATTGGGCTAACGGAAAGGGAGTACGGGAAATTACTTTAAATAGAAAAGTACGTCCTGACCATAACGAGTGGGATCTGTGAGAAGTTACCCATCATTCGGACGCAACTTTACATTAGTCCCAAATGGAGTCTCAGCTTTTTTGCTATCTGTTACCCCGGCACAAGAAAGCTCCGGATCGATCTCCGACCATGAATCTTTGATTCCTCGTTAGCCTATGAATAAGAGAATCTAAGGTATGTTAAAGTAGGGCGCAAGTCAAAACAAGCTGAAAATCTTCAGATAAGAAGGAGTCCTCGTAAGCGCATAGGCAAAAGAGCTTGGTGCTCGTTGTTCACCATTTGCTGTTACACAGGGGGGAGACGAAGAAAACCCCTCTATATATATATAGTTGAGCAGCGAGAACTGCACTTGCATTAGTAGAGGCGAAACAATAGACTGTCCACACTCTTGTCTGCGAAGCGAAGCAAGGCTAAACCTGTTACACCTCTAATATCTAATAATGGCATCGGCGAAAAGTTTCCTACGGCGAGCTCGAGC